CCCGGCGCACGTTCGCGAGAGCAGCTCGCGAAACACCTGTCCAAGTGAGCAGCAGAAGGGGACTTAAACTAGACAGGCCCTCAAAATCCCCAAGGATAACCCCTATTATATAACCCTATAATACTATAGTAGTTTCCATTTTCTTTTCCAGTATCCCCATATAACCCCTATATTACCCCAATATAATATAGTAGTAGTTTTCCATTTTCTTTTCCATTATCCCAATATCTCCCCTATATAACCCCAATATACTATAGTAGTTTCCATTTTCTTTTCCATTATCCCCATATTACCCTATAATATCCCTATATAAACCCTATATAACCCATTATAGTAGTTTCCATTTTCTTTTCCATTATTGCCATGCTTGAACGGGCCTCACCGGTCAACTTGCCAGGTCGCAGCGCTTCGGGAGCGGAATGCAAGTCCGGGACCTGCAGGCTTCAGGGAGTTTAACTACAGGAATTATAGGGGTTATATTGGGGTTATAGGGATTATAGGGTATATATGGGATTTATTGGGATAATGGAAAAGAACATGGAAACTACTATAGTATTATAGGGTTTTCTTTTGTACCCTTAGGGTTTGTACCCTTGGGTGTTGGATCCCTAGTCTATGGAATATGGACCTCAATAAGGGTATTTGGGACCCAAAACTTAGGGGTACAAAAATTAACGGTACAAACTTAAAGTCTTTGAAGGCGTGAGGCTCCAATTTGCATGTTGTAAGTTGGTAGGGTTTCAGGGTTTAGGGGTTTATGGGTAGAGGGTTCAGGGTTTAGGGGTTTGGGGTGTGGGTTTAGGGCTTAGGGGTTTAGGGCTTGAGGGTTTTAGGGTTTGGGTTTAAGGGTTTGGGGGTTTAGGGGTTTGGGGTATAGGGTTGTCCCTCTCCGCGTCCTACTTACATACTCCTCAGATAACCTTCATATAATATTCTACTCCCTCATCCCCGACTTAGCACCAGGAAGCATAATATCCCAACATAATCCCCAATATACTATATTGGCTTCCATTTTCTTCTGCATTATTCCCTACATGCAGCCCCTACACCCCAACCTTAAACCCCTCAAACCTGAACCCTAGACCTTTAACCCCAGTGTGAAAGGTCTGATGCACGGCAGGCTATCGGGGCACTATGTGGCTTTCCGCTCGGAATTGAGCAGGCGAGCTGCTCCACGTTCAGCTCCAGGTGGTTAGTAGGAAATACAGGAATAGAATCTTGTATATAGAGGTGTAGGGCTTAGGGTTTAGGGTATATGGAGATTTGAGAGGGATGATTTTCCCTCGTTCCTAGAAACAAACCACCGGATAGGTGGTAGTATAGGGATAACGGAAAAGAAAACGGAAACCACTATAATATGATAGGGTATATATTGGGGTTATCAAACAAGCTCCAAATTTTTGGCTTGGGCATTCCTCAGAAATTCGACCCCTGGTAATTGCCTGCCAAGGGCAAGATAGCGCTGGGTATAGGGACCTGACGAAGGATACGGAATTTGATAGGTGCATTTGTCGCGGCGGAACCTAAACCCTAAACCCTAAACCCCAGGCGCGGACCAGGACATGGAAGGAAGCTGAAGCCAGTTGCAGCGCAACTTCGTTCCATGCATTGCGTGCCAGCCTAGGACTTGGGGTCGGAGGTCAAGAGGAAGTACACACTTGGTTGGTAAATCCAAGCAGAAGGTGTGTAACCTTGTTGGGATTGGGGTCTCAAAAGAACCTTGTAGAATAATTTGGGTTCGAAACGTGAATACTATCAACCCATGCCTCTAAGTTCACAACCATACTGCATATCATGCATTATATACATCTATATATATATACACACCCGATTATACTGTAGTAGTTTCCATTTTCTTTTCCATGATCCCTATAAAGGCCCAATATCAATGGGGTCTTACCAATCTGTAAGTAAGGCCGTCACTCTGTGTCTGGCCTTAGCTTCAGCAATGGGGAAGCTTGGCAAAGGACTTGTGAACTACTATGGTATATTGAAGTTATAGAGGGATATATACTATAGTAGTTTCCCGTTTCTTTTCCATAATCCCTCTATAATCCCCATACACTGTAGTAATTTCCATTTTGTATGAGGAGACACTCCAGCGTGTTCGTGCGAGGCTGCATACTTGAGTTCGGAGCTTGTCGTGTATGAGAACCTGGGGGAAATCCAGCACGCTGAGCTTCTATGAAGGAAAGCCACTGCATGGCAACAACAACTTCTTCACAGTGAATGACCGCTGCTTTTGTCTTGGATGTGCGCTCATCGTTTTCCAGTGCTGCTTTGATGAGGCTCTGCAAGCTCCAGCAAGATCAAATGCGCCACATCCCAGCTTCCGAAGTTGTTCATGAGCACGAGTGGATGCCCAAGGGGCACATTTTCAGGCGGTAGCCTGGATTCCTTCTGAGCCCTGGCCATCGTCGAGTAGCCGATAGGTGGCTGTTGATCCCCATGAAGCACACACACACCCAAGCCAAATCAGCCATTCAAGGCCAATCATCCTCTCCTGGCTTTCCTCAGTATCTGTTGAGTACTGCCTCCAGTAACCGTGTGTAAGTCTTACGGCCTTGATATCTTCATAGCAAGATGAAGTATTTTGCAATTGTTACTGGATCAAGGCAACATACAATACCCTGGCATCTGCGAGAACAATCAAAAGAAGGCCCTTTACACAATGAAGCGACTCCAATAGCCATCCCAAATTCTTGAAACCCAGCGCTCCTAGCTGTGGCCGAACGCTGGGACCGGCATTGCTGGTACCATTTCCATTTCCTAACTCCCTATGTCTGCTGTTTCTGGTCTTGTACGACCACCACAAAGACTATCCTTTTCAATCCAAGGCTGAACCATCAACCACGCGGCGAAGGTACCACATTGGCACATTCTCCCGGCGAATGTAGTCACCAGATGCTTTGTCCTCAAGAGTCGAAGCTTTCTTGATGGTTGAGTCAGGTAAGATGATGCGGGAGTTTCCCAACATAAGGGTTGCCAGTTTGGGGGTTCCTATATGAAGGATGATCGTATTTTGGGGTCTATATTGGGGTCCCCTGATGCAAGTACCATATTCATATGTTCTCTCAGAAATGCTACAACGCAAGAGAAAAAGGAAACATCGTCTCATGCTCTGGGACGAAAAGTATTTCCAAAGCTGCATAGGCTTGATGAAGCCCACCTGGCAACTGCCAATGCGAGATATAGTCTGAACTCCTAGTATCCTCCTTAATAAATAGCCCCTACAATACTCCCCTATATAATCTCCTATATGGCCCCCCTTTAAAAGAGTTTTTAGACGATAGCTCATATGGGTCAGTTCTAAGCCAGGTCCCCAATCAAAAAACCGCAAACCCTAAACAGTTTCGCTCCTTGACCTTGATATGGTACATGCTGGGCCAGTCCCCTGCAGCTTCAATTTCAGCTGGCAGCCAGCAGCCAAAGAGATCCCCAGGCCTTGGGTAAGTCGTCTAAGTCACTAGAATAACACCACCCCCCCCCCCTGCCAAAGAAAAAGCGAACGTCAAAATTCAAGCATGTGCATTGTTTTCTGCATTTTTCTGCGCTAAGGCATTTTACCTTTAGGGGGTGGGAGGGAGGTCTCGAAACCGCTTCTATGAGGTGGTCTTGCTGGGAAAAGCCACAGCACAGGTGTTCAATGTATGAGGATTCAAGAGCGACCTCTCCAAACACACATCATCGTCTCTAAAACTTCCATATACAAATTCAATGTCGCACCCGCTGTAGCTCTGAGACAACATCTGAAGTTGAAGAAGCTTTTGTGACATGCATGTAACTTGACTGCACTAAGGATGACGCTGAAAGCATGTGCAGAATGCTTTTGAAGCTTATCTGATCTAGGTTGGGCCCGAATCACTTTGTTTTGCTGCAGGCTTGTCCGCTCGCACGGAGGCACACAACTGCAGCTGCCCTTAAAGTGACCTCAGAAGCTTGACCCCTAATTCAGGGGAGATTATCTAGTGCGATACAACTTTCTTGTAGATGTTCAAGACACTCTCATGAAGATCTTGGAATTGAGCATGGAAACTCTCATAAATCCACAGGCCCTGGAATCACTCTAGCAGTGACCACAGGGCATATCGTCCCCCTTAAGTAGATAGAATATGGGGTATATGGGGATCTTATAATATACCCAAAGCCATATGCGATCTACTTAAGATACTTTATATCAGGGTTCTTGTGGTTCTCCTATAATACATCGGTTACCGGGCGGGTCCAAACCCAACTCAGCTCTCTATAAGCTAAGCAGCTCAGCTACCAGAACTTCAAGTGGCTCCTGGGCGGAGGGGGTAACAAAGGGCTTAGGGGTTAGGGCTAAGGGTGTCCTGTACTGTTTTAGGGCTTCAGGGTTTGAGTGCTTAGGGTAGACATGACTGTCCGCTCCGCAAAAAGTGAATCATGAAACAACATGGTGAGTATGCAAAGTATGCAAAGCGTTCGCAGACTGGATGAACTGCTGATAGCTTCTGCTGAACTTGTGGTCTGCCAACACTGGCCAGCCCCCATTTTCCCCCAAGCCTTAGGCAATGCAACACTCGAAGTCTTGCCCGAAGCGAATAGTCAGATGACGTTACAGTCTCAAAATACGTGTACTTAGGGACCCCAGGGATGGTATACGGGTAAATTTGACCAACTCCCATATTCTGAACCCCAGCTGCAATCGCGGTACGCCAACCGCGAAGTTACGCTGACTTTGCAGCACTGGGCCTTAGATACCAAGCTTTTGCATGACCATCACAGAAAAAAAGGGGCTTCTCAAAACGGGGCCCTGCGAAATGTGGGGATTACAAAGGGGTCATGAGGGTCCTTATTCAGGATCCTGTTGGAAAATCCCACAAATGTCGTTCAACCGCTGCTTGCCTATGCTGAGGACGCATTTTCGGCTCCCGTGGCAGTCTTCAACCAGGTTCCAGGAGGTTTCCAAAAATGTGAAGCATCTGTACACATGCGAGCAAGGCATGACTCTCCGGGTTCCCAGTCTTCGCAATCACTCACTTGCCGTTCTGCCTCTGGATGTAGCAGGCGATGTGCATGAAGAAGGAGATTGGGAGAAGGAAGGACTCCACAATGTAAGAGACGTTGAAGAACCTCAGGTGCCCAGCATAGGAGCTTTCCCCAGGTTAATTCTTAGAAATCCATCTCACCCGGAAGTGTAAAGCTTACCACAAAACAGGTGAGGGACCCACCAGCATCGACCTTGGCCCACTGGGGGTCATAGTAGTCGAACTGCAGATTGCCATACAAGCCAACACCAAAGAAGAGCATGGACAGAAAGGCAAGCTCATTAGAGCTAAAGGCCTTGAGGTTACCAATGACATGCCTGAGCTCTTTAGGATTTAAGGCTTAGGGTTTAAAAGCCTCCGATGGTTCAGTGCTTCTCTGTAGAAGATGCTAAGTGAGGTGCTTGCAGGGGGGGCAGTTACGAGTTTGCTCTACAGGAGTAAGGAATACTGCAGGCGCAGGGCCTCAACAAGGTTAGGTTCAAACTACAACCCTCAGCGAAAACTGGAAAAACCAAGATGCGAGGTGTACTTTCCCTCCTTGATCATTGGGGTTCCGGGGTAGTCAGGCAACCAGCCCTGCAACTTGTTTGGGTGCCAGTACAGCGGGCCCTTGAGGTACTCTGAGGTGTACTGCAAGTACACCTGCTCGAAAAGCCGCTGGTCAGCAATGGTCTCAACATACTTCTTTCCTGGGAGTTTCTCAAAAAGGGCGGCTCCTAGGGACCCCAAGGATATTTCGGGATGATGGGGAGATTAGGGGGGTCCGTTTCGGAGATTACATAGGGACCATTTTGAAAACTCTTACCTTCGGTCTTCTCCGCCCGTGCTGCGGTAGCCCGGGTGCGCCAGGCCGCAGCCAAACCCAGGTGAGCACCGAGGACCACGCCCACCGTGGCTCCCCAGCCTGGGTTGCTGTTAAGGAACTTAAATTAAGTTACCATAATGTGTATATATAGTAATTAATAGGGTATCCCAAAAATGGTAACTTAAATTAAGTTCCTTAACAGCAACCCAGCAGCTTCCTGAACTGGATCCTGCATTGCTCTGGGCGCCTCCATGGACACCAACATGCTCAGCCGTGGCCGTGACAGGGGCCCTTGCCGAGGGAGGAGTAAGGAATGCCACACCTGCAACCAAGGTGGCCGCAGCAGCAACCGTTGCCCAGCGACTCATGCTTGTCTCGCGGGGTTCTTGTCCACTAGCTACCTACCCAGAGAGGCTTGATATCAAAAACTTGCGCAAAAGGCAGGTGTGTGCGCTCACAGAAACACGGGCGGCACAAGGAAAGCTGCCTTGCCAACTGCTGACGACTCCGTTCCCCTGTCAATTCCCCAGCCAAAGCCCCAAACAAGGGGCCATGACTTCTAGTCAACCCCCTTACTCCTTTTTGAGGAGCACCCATTTGCAAGATGAGCTGCGCAGCGTGGGCTCTGCAGCCTCAACCCACCTAGGACAAGTTGCGGACATGGCTTCCTTAGACCTTGAACACTGCCATTGTAGGAGTCATCAGAAGACACTGGCATCATTTGCTTTGGAATCCTAGTGCTTTCTTGGTGACACTTTGATGTAAGCCCGGACAATACTTGTATGATGCTGACACAATCTCCAAACAACATTTGGATGACTGCTAAATGCATGTCCGATACTTTTTCAACAGCCCCTATGAAATCATTTGCATCTTCCATTTGGAACTGTCTAGCCGAATGTGAAACCTGAAAGAAGGCGCTCTTGACCATGCAAGCTACCGTTGGGCTTGAGATCAGGTGAGGTAGCCACAATTAATTCAATTAAACCCCTGGCACAAAGCTGTTTTGTGCTTTGCCCCCTCTGCACACCGGAAAAAAAATGTTGCACAATGAGTCCTAAGCTGACTCTGCCATGGCACACAGACTCCTGCGGGCCGACCTCCAAGCCAGCGGCGCTCGGTGACCTCAGCCGAACCTATGAGTACCACCACAAACGACGGTTGGTTGCCAGAATCATGAATGGCCTGCATGCGATTCTAGGTACTACGTCTTTTAAGTATGCCATGGAGCTCAACACCAATGCTGAACACAGGCCATTCTGAATTCAAAGCCTGACCAAACTCCTAATGAACCCTAACACCCCAAACTCTTAAACCCCAACCACCCAAACACTACACCCAAACTCCTAGGCCCCACCCTCTACACCCTAAACCCCTATACGCTACACCTCAGAAGTGCCCAGAAAGCTGCGCAAGTGGAGGTGCCACGCGTTGTGGGCACAACCGCAACCAGGCTCCCTTGACAGGGTTCATGGGGTCTCGGGTTTAGGGGGTTTAGGGTTGAGGGTGTTATCTTGGGGTTCTATTGGGATAGTGGAAAATAAAATTGAAACTACGAAATAGTGTTTATTTAGGGTTTATGGCTTAGGGATTCCTAAGGGTTTAGCGTTTAGGATTTCCTTATATTAGGGTGATATTAGGGTTAATTGGGGTTATATCTGGAAAATGGAAAAGAACATGGAAGCTACTATTTACGGTTTAGATTTTCAGGGTTTACGGTTTCCTTTTTGTGGGGTTGTGGTGGATATAGATGGTTTAGGACGCAGTGTCTAGGATTATGTAGGGTTTCGTTTTGGGGCCGTTGGCTTGCATACAAAGAGCTTTGGGTTTATGGTTGCAGTTCGGCTTAGGGCTGAGGATTTTAGGCTGAGACTGTGGGATTTGGGGTTTATGCTCTACCCCGTCGACAAACCAGGGGTCCGAGAAGTGGCACACTTAGGGTTCAGGGAAGCCTGAATAATTGGCAATATGAGTTTTGAGGTCCATGCGAGGTACCACGAGGTACCACGTACAAGGAACTTATCTAGGACCTCTAGGACCGTAATGTTGGTAGGTACTCGCGTAAATCCCTTATAGGAACCCAGCCCAGCTGATTTTCCATGATCTCTTCCATTTGATTGTGCATAATTGGGATAAACCCTGTAAACCCTAAACCCTAATCTCTGCATAACCCTATATGCCCTCCCATATAGCCCATCATTCAAATGCCCACAGTATCTAAGGTTTGGGATCCCTTCAACAAGCCCACCAAAGCTTTGTTTGTGAGGTGTTTAAACCTTAGGGTCTCTTGCGCAGGCATTGTATCATAGGGGGGTATTAAGGAGGACACCCCAGCTCGTAGAATGCCCAAAACGTGGTTTAGGGTTTAGGGTTCAGGGCTCAAACGTGCCTCATGAGGACCCCCCTATAATCCCCTAATGATCCCTAGATTTCCCTCGGATTCCCTTGGGCCCTAAACCCTAAACCTTACACCCTAAACCCCAAAACTTAAACCCTAAACCACCCCCGTTCAGATAAATACAAATTGTATAGGGCAAAAATTAAAACGGGAACTCCGTCGAAACTCGCCGTAAAGTCGCTATAAACTCCCGACCTGAACCCTATACAATTCGTATAAACCCTAAACCCCGGAAGCTACCAAAGCTCGCTCTGACCTCTGGCTTGGCCAGAAACCGCATGCCAAATCGAAGGAAGCCAGTGGCGAGGTGCTCCTTCCCAGGTCCCTGGTGCCAAGGGAGGATTTTCAGAAAAACTATAGGGGTTTAGGCTTGGGTTTAGGGTTTAGGTTTTAAGGTTTAGGGTTTAAGGCTTGGGTTTATGGTTTAGGGGTTTAGGCTTGGGGTTTAGGGTTTCGGTTTTAAGGTTTAAGGCTTGGGGTGATTTAGGGTTTAGGGCTTAGGGATATACAACAGTCTGGACGTGAATTTTGAGATTCTTAGAAAGGATTGCATGGGGATTCTATTGAGAACCCCCCCCATGTGCTTGGGATTCAGCATGCTAGGCCGGTGGGCCCAAGAAAGATGGGGGTCTCCCAGAATGAGGGGCACCATTTTGAGGTCCCTGTAATAAGGACTGTGGTATTTTGGGGGCTATATTGGGGTCTCTGTTTTGACAAACTACTAGATGGACTCTGGATGCGAGGGAGAAAGCCCTAAGCCCTAAACCCCAAGGACCTAGCAGTTCTAAAGGGTAACCAGAATACCCCCAGGAACCCCCCCCAGATTAAAAACTCATCAAGCCTTCTTGCGCCCTGTCGTCCTTACGTACAAGGACTGTAATGGGGACCCCAAACAGGAAACCCTAAGAGCAAAGTCTGCAAACATAATAATAATACCCCCTATTTTGGGAAACTACCACAAGGACCCTGGATTATGTTCCTGCTGTCTTCTTGGGGTTCTGTGTTTTGGGGGGTCCCCATCAGAGCCCGTATATTATCAGCTCCTTAGACCCTGAAAGGGGTGTACTTTTCAAGAGATGGTAATCTCATGCCTTGAATTAAAAGCAAGTTCAGAAAGCCACCCAACTTGTCTAGAAGAAGTTTAGGGCGTAGGGTTCAGTGGATAGGGCTTAGGATCGATGAGTCGCCAGTCTTGGGTGGAAAGGCTTAGGCAAATAAGGCTCAGCTCCACTGAAATCCCCTCCTTATACGAATAACCACCCCTCCCTACATCTCCAGAGCTGATATGATTATAAACCAAGGCAGTAATCATCTCTAGAGTGGGTCGGGAGGGGGGACCCTAAATAGTAGCTTCCATTTTATTTTCCTAAGTATCCCTATATTACACTAGATTACCCTATGTTATGTTTTCCAATAATTTATTAGGGTAGTGGATGAGAAGCTCTTTGCTTGTCAAGCTGCCCTGCGAAGCAACGCCTGCTGGCTTGCAACGGCATACCTGGGTTGCAGCCCCATGAAAGCTAGGGAGGGTTGAGGGTTTAGGGGTTCAGGGGTAAGGGTTTAGGGATTTAGAGGGTAGGGTTTAGGGGTTTAGGCATTCTTCCCTAACTTAACCACTGAGATAGGATCAGCAAGGGCCGGCTAAACATCAAGCTTTTAATGGCTCTACACCATAAGGTACATATGGGCTATAGTCTGAAGTCCTAGCATCCCCCTTCATAACCCCTACAGTAGTCCCCTCTATAATCCCCTATATAACCCCCCGTCAGGAGTTTAGACTATAGCTCACTATGGTCCATAATGATAATAACAAATCGTTCCCAGGAATACCCGAACCACCTTTTTGGCATGCCATGGCATGAGCTGTTTGCAGTGGAGCAGCACGCGCTCTGCCCCTGAAAGCTAGGTAGGGCTGAGTGGCTCAGGAGTATACAAGGAGGTAGGGGTTTTGGGATTTAGGGGGTAGGGTTTAGGGGCTTAGGGTTAGGGCTTAGGGGTACGCATTGGGTCTTGCCCCCATCCATCAATAATCGAGCATAGGAGTTTTGTAAAAGATTATCCAGCCGTGAATGACTGGGAGCAGTACCCAAGGTAGGCATAGTACAGAACACTGTGTTATCTGCAATTAGAACTGTGATCAACCATGGCATAGTACCTGGTTGTTGTTTGGCTTCCCTACCTAGCCTGCAGCCGGAAAATAAACATGGCTACCCGAAACTCAGAAAGTAAATGGATCACATGGTGATCTTGGTGTAGCCAGTTGTAGTTGAAATGACAGTCCCGGCCTGAAGACGGGCCAAGAAGGCGGGGTGCGGTAAACTCCTGCACAGTTCAGCGAGCATTTCGGGTCTCCACAGACTATGTGATGAGCATGGGGGGGCAACCAGAATATTAATTAAGTACTATAATAACCAGCAGTAATACGAATAGTAATAATCACAGTGAGACTACTATCATGATAAGAAAAACCCAAAAGTTGTAACAGTGCACTTCAAGTGGGCCCGGCTTTGGGGGTCCACGCCACAGCCTATCAAGCAGGCTCCTCAAGCTCTTGCGCTGCTCGAAACCGCTCCGCATCAGCCATGGCCGGGGTGGAGCACGCAAGCTGATGGTCCACTGAGGAGAGGAGCCCTGTGAAAGATGATGCTTTCTGCAAGTCATGGTGGAAGCAGTCCGACTCAAAGGCGTGTCTGCGTGAATGTCATGCATCTTGTGAGGTCTCTGCCCCCAGCGGCTGGTGGAGACGAATCTGGTTTCAGTCGTGCAACCAAGTATGACAGCATGGCTGTTCTGACTGCAGGGATTGCACAAACTGCGTTTCCTTGTCGCAGCAGGCAATGCGCAAAACCTACACCTTGCTCAAAAGCCGGAGTGCTGGTCACCCGCTTCACAGCTATATCTATACCTCCCCTTCTGCCCCCACCCAGCCTAGTCACGTTGATTTTCTAGCTACTATGTAGACTATGTATA